TCGAAACTGTAATACTTCTATTGGACAACAATATCACTTAGACACCAGTCAATAGGACTCGAAACTGTAATACTTCTATTGGACAACAATATCACTTAGAAACCAGTCAATAGGACTCGAAACGGTACAGGTCTGGTTATAGTAGTGGGTTGTGGTTTACAGACCAAAACTTTGGGTTAGTAAAGTTGTGTACAGGTCTGGTTATATTAGTGGGAAAGTTTTGTCTGTAAACCACAACCCACTACTATAACCAGTACTGTACACAACTTTACTCACCTAAAGTTTTGGTCTGAACTCCCTATAACCAGACCTGTACACAACTTTACTCACCCTAGTGGGTATATCTGTTGTTTAACCAGATCTGTAGACAACTTTACTCACTCAAAGTTTTGGTCTGTAAACCACAACCCACTACTATAACCAGACCTGTACACAACTTTACTCACCTAAAGTTTTGGTCTGTAAACCACAACCCACTACTATAACCAGACCTATACACAACTTTACTCACCTAAAGTTTTGGTCTGTAAACCACAACTACACAATCTCACATGATTATGTTATTATGTTTGTCTTCATGTATTTGTGACAAGTCTACTGTGTGATTCACAGTTAAACAACAGATATATCTCACATGATTATGTTTGTCTTCATGTATTTTCACACCTGCAAATCATTTGATTTTCATCTCCCTTTCCAAATTGTTGATTTTTGCTTGATAAATTCTGATTGTGAATTATTTCATATATTTGAAAATGTTGTTGGCTAAGTTTACACTCCCCTCCTGGATCAGTGGTAAGTTTATGGACTTATAATGCTAAAATCCAGGATTCGATTCCCTGCAATGGACAGAGTGCAGGCCCATTGTGTAAAACAAGCAAACATCCTCTAAGTTTAAAATTAACTTGTGTTTAATTTGTAAATTGTATCTGTGAGAGTCAACAAACTTAGGTGAACAATGGCATAACCGTTTATATCAACATTTATAAATGGTCATATTATACATAAACATCTGAAGTCACAAGTTGTTTCAGTTTGTAAACATCTGTTATTTTTAAACTATAATGTACGAAATGCACTTATCTTTACACATAATTTTCTTGCTTCCCTGATTAGTCTTAACAGAACTTCAACATTTGACAAAACACCGTTGGTAAATATTGATTAAAATGTTATCCTTTAGAAACTTGGCAGATTGTACAGTGTATTGAACATCTACGAGAGTAGCCTAAGATCTGGAAATAATATAAGTTCTAGAGGAATCAAAGAAAAATGGTTGATTGGAGTACGTAAGGTCTTGGTTGATAGGAACACGTAAAGTCTTGAATAATAGCACTACGTAAGGTCTTAGGTTGTTAGGAGTGTGCTTTACAAAGTTAGGTAAAAACACTTAGAGATTTTGAAGTTCTGGAAAATACAATTCAGAAAAGTATTAAACCTTCATATGAAGTTATTAGTTTGTAGAAATGTAATTGGTTTGTTTATTTTGCTCTTGATGTAGGCCTGACCAGCACAATTCTATTGAATGTGTTAGCACTCGAACTTTGGAGCTTCATTTTGATCCCGCAAGAGGCCTTCACCATCACCTTCCCATTCTATTTGAGTATTTTTATTTGTCTGCCATCAATATTACCATACATGCTTCACTCCTTGCCCTTTGTCAGCCATACCTAAGGTAGGGACTATATTACTATAAGGTGTTTGTTAATTACTCTGTCTAGTCAAAAAAAGAGAAACCAATTTCAATGCCTATATTTGAAAATAGCTGACAAATATAAAACTTCTGTCTTTTAATACATCTGATGTTTGTAAATTTTAAAAACATTTGTATCATACTTCCTCAACCTTCAATCTGCTTCTGTCTTGTAGTATATCTAAACCATATAATATATCAAAAATACGTGTAACATAATTTCTTAACCCTCAGCTTTTAATATATCTGATATATTTACAATTTCTTCGACACACACAGATTAGCCATCCTCCTCTTGTGTCTGTTTAACTCTCTCACTACGGACTTGGTCTCAGGGACCGACCTAGTAACCATTTTGTGCGTTATAGTTTTCTTACTATAACTTTTAATACAGTAAGCGTATCTTCACAAAATTTTGCAGATTATCAGTAAATATTACAATGTTTTCATACACAAAATATCAGATCTTTAATTTAAGTTTAAGGTATTTTTAAGTAATGATTTGCTTATGCATTTTTTCTTTTCAGATGTTGACTATCCATCGTTCGAAGTAATTTTTAGTTTTAGCTTAAAAATACTTTTATGCATCATGAAATTGTTAAATTTCACATGCAAAATCTTTATAACTTCCAACTAATTATCAAACATTTTATTTCAGAAAGAACTTTATATTTTATTAGGTCATCAAGAAATTAATGTCGCTTTTTTTTT